TACGTGGAGAAACAGCCTCTAAAGAAGAGGGATTTTGGAGTTGATGATGATGAAGAGCACTTGAGGCTGAGTTTGAATAGTTACAAGAAAGACATGGGGACGTGTCCTAACATAGGACTAGGGTTTAATTAAAAACAAAAAAATCCATTATATATTCGTAGATTTCCATAGATTATGTAAAGATTTTATGAGGGTGATCAAGAACGCATGGGAATATTCTATATGAGTCAACATAATATATACAATATATATAGAAAAAAATGTGTGAGATGTGTGTATAGATTAGGTGGGGAAGCTTGTGGATGTGGTAAAGGCGGATTTGGAGGAACTTTTTATGATCAATGAAAGAAGCAAAATGATTAAATTAGAGTGAGCTTTTATGATTATGTCCCGACCATGATAAGCATGTTGGCTTCTGAGTGGTTGTTTTATGACAAGACAAACCATATAAATATACTTGAGTCCTGCGAAACAAAATCGTATAATGTGTATCTTCCTTTAATTAACTTACTAATTAGCCATCTTTGAATATTTCTTTGGTTCATTTAAAAAAATAAAGAATATATATTTCTTTGGAACCTCATGGGAAGTAGTAACATAGAGGAACGAGAGTCACGTGTTCCTGAAAACGAGGCTTATTAGTTTTTTCCCCAAATGAAGAATTTTAAGATTTATTTTCAGTATTATGGATGTGAAAAGAAGACATAGTTAGTAAGGAACACAAACATATCTACATATATGTTGGTATTTTTCCCTTAAGCAAGTTAGTAACAAGTCACAGTGGCTCTTGTAGGTAGCTAGGAATGCACAAAAATTCGAAGACATTAAAAACAAATTTGGGGAAGCTGCTGCCAGCGTAAGGATGAGGTATTTCGTAATATGGATTTGACCCATGAGATGCAAAGGTTGGCAATTGCTCGAACAATCTTGCAGATGCCAAACGTTTACATTTTTGATGAACCACTTGAATGTGAGGCAAAGATATGGAATTGTCCAAGTGATATGATCTGTCAACAAGCCTAACACGTATGATTCTATCATTTTCTATATTGAATCTTTATCGCAGACCATGACATCAGTCTGTTTGATGTTATGGCTGATGAAATCAGTTGTATGAATGGGATTTCGAAAAGATATGGTGAATGTTCACTCACAATGCCTTTCGCAAGCGTAATCTTGCGCTATTACCCTGAAATTGCCATATGGATGTGTTCAGAATTCCGAAGATTGATAGAAACTATATGGGGTTTCATTCTCCATGTCATGGTAGACGTTGTCGACCCTTCACAAATTATAACCATGCTTGGCGAAGCAAAAACAGTTTAGCTTAACCACTTTTACCAAATTCATTCACCAATTTGATTAGATGGCTTCCACAACCTTTTTTTTTAGTTTTACTACCAAACGGACATAAACTTATTTGTGTTACTGTTAGTACAATTTTCCATATGATTTGACTTAAACTTAGCGTATTTGATTTATGTGAGCATACCGAACATCGTGAGAGATATATATAAATTGAAATTATGGACGTTTATTCAATTTTCATTGTCTCGTCATCCAAGCATGTGTAGCCAAAATCTTGTTTTGGCTGAATTCAATCATTTTACTTTTCGATTGTTTAACTTCTATGTATAATGTGAAAGCGTTTTTGGTATCTTCCAAGTCTTGTTTTGGCTCTGATATACATTACATATTCAGAACAATAACTCATGTAAATATGGTTGAAACCATCCAATCAAATTGGTGACTAAATTTGGTAAAACTGGTTAAACTAATTTCAAAATATTCATCGGATTCAAAATATATGTCAATGAGACAACATCAAACACCAATTTTTGTTTGCTAAATTATTCTCTTTTTAAGGAGTAATGATATAACGTTGGATTCGTTACATCAATAAATAATAGAATTTTTTAATGACACGAAACTTATAGAATTAAAGATGAGCTAAAACCAAATCTAGCTTGAGAGCAAGTCTTTATGCTATGTACATCACTTGGAACTTGATTGATGTATAACGAGTGTCCGAATATCATCACATGATACTGATTACTACCACCTACTCGCATCCTATGTTAGGATTTGATAGTATTGGGTCCAACTTCAGGCATGTTCTGCTCACATGTTATATGTTTGGTTTTGATATACGTCCAAAATATGTCAAAGGGGTAAAATAATAATAGAATGATAACAAAAGGTCAACTCATTTCACAATTTTTGTTTTCATCATTTTTTTACTTGGCGAACTCAAGACAAATTACGCTAAATGTTACATTTACTCGAAAGGTTCCAAATATAGGCTGAGGAGAACAGTTTCATACTCAGGCCCATATTATAACATAGGCCCGTTTTCCACAATGTTGTTAGAATGTCCATTTCAATTCTATATGATCCATACCCTAAAAGTTGTGCACA